AATTCTTTTTTTATAAATTAATCCTCACCCGAGGATATTTTTCCATTGATTGGAAGGGAAGGGGAGAAACAGAGGGAAACATTGATGTGAGCGAGAGAGATATCAATTGTTGCCTCCCACATAAGTCTGACCAGGCCATGGATCTAGTCTGTAACTGAGGTACATGCCTTTGACTGGAATTGAACCTGGGACCCTTCAGTCTATGTGCCAACGCTCTATCCACTGAGCCAAACTGGCTATGGCTCAACTTAATTCTTTTTTTTTTTTTTTTAAATATATTTTATTGATTTTTTTACAGAGAGGAAGGGAGAAGGATAGAGAGAGAAACATCGATGAGAAAGAAACTTTTTAAAAAAAATATATTTTATTGATTTTTTTTTACAGAGAGGAAGGGAGAGAGATAGAGAACCAGAAACGTTGATGAGAGAGAAACATCAACCAGCTGCCTCTTGCACACCCCTTACTGGGGATTGCCCGCAACCAACATACATGTCCCTGACCGGAATCGAACCCGGGACCTTTCAGTCCGCAGACCGATGCTCTACCACTGAGCTAAACCGGTTTCGGCTCGACTTAATTCTTGATGCCCTGAATGTGTACCCTGTTCACTGCTTTATGTATTGAAATTATCTGGATACTCAGCGTTTCAGCTGCACTTTTAAGAAGAGTGAAGGTGATGAGAAATTTTCCAAAATACACTGTGATCTTGACTTTCTCCCACAGTTTTAGGTTGCTTTATTATGATGCAACTCTATTGATGACATTAGCAGAGATTCGAGGATATTTTGGCCTTGGGCACAACCTAAGGTAGCCTTGAATCTTTTTTTTAATTTTTTTTTTCAAGACACCATTTATGGCATGGGAAAGTGTTTCCATGCCGTAATAATACTGGGTGAAATGAATCAGTATTTCCCCAATTACAAATAGGGACTTCTGACTCAAGTTCACACCTGGGAAATGAAGCAGAGATGGGATACGGACCCAGGAAGTCTAGGAATAACAGAGTTGTACTCTTAACCTCTACATAGAACTGTTGGTAGTTGAAACAACATAAAGCCAGACTTTTCAGAACTGAAGGTCATGTTATTCATGTATTCATTTGGGCCTTCCGTGAGGGCTGGGTGTGTGGCAGGCCCTCTTGAGGCACTGGTGATAATGGTTGACTGTGATAATCCCCTGAAGAAACAAACCAACCAGGAAATGAATGAGTCCATCAGTGTGGTAAGTGCCATATATGAAGCACAGGCATGTTGGTGGAAAAGCAAAGCAGTGCAGCCACTTTGGAAAATAATTTGGCAGTTACTTTTTTCCCCCTTCCTTCCTTCCTTCCTTCCTTCCTTCCTTCCTTCCTTCCTTCCTTCCTTCCTTCCTTCCTTCCTTCCTTCCTTCCTTCCTTCCTTTCTTTCTTTCTTTCTTTCTTTCTTTCTTTCTTTCTTTCTTTCTTTCTTTTTAAATATTCTGTTTTTAGAGCCATTGGATTTTTAAAAATCTATAAATTTTATTGATTTTAGAGAGAAAGGGAGAGGGAAAGAGAGAGATAGAAACATCCATGATGAAAGAGAATCATTGATTGGCTGCTTCCTGCACGCCCCCTACTGGGGACTGAGTCTGAAATCCAGGCATGTGCCCTTGGCTGGTATTGAACACGAGGCCCTTCAGTCCACAGGCTGACACTCTATCCATTGAGCAAAGCCAGCTAGGGCAAATTTGGCAGTTTCTTAAAAAGTTAATGGACTTACCATATGATTTAGCAATTGCACTCCTAAAAAATGAAAGGATATGTTCACACAAAGACTTGCACAGGAATGTTCTTAACAGTTTATTTATAACTAGAGGCCCCGTGCATGAAAATTTGTGCACTCATGGGGGTCCCTCAGCCTGGCCTGCACCTTCTCACAGTCAGTCCAGGAGCCCTCAAGAGATGTCCTACTGAAGGTTTGGGCCTGCTCCCCCTGGAGAGCGGACCTCTGTCGAAGGCAACCAGGCTGGCCAATCAGGAGAATGCCCTGCCCTCCATCTCCCCCCTCCATCGCCCCTCTGCTTCTGCTGGTCGCCAGTGCCTTCCCCTGCCCCTCCCCCCCATCACCATCCCCTCTCTCTGCCCGCTGGCACTCACCTTGGCTGGCCTGGTGCTGCCGGCTCACAGACCCGCCCCTCACCTCCCCTCGGCCCCCCTCGCCAACTGGTTGTTCAGCCATTTGGTCGATTTGCATGTTACATCTTTATTATATAGGATAGCCATAAATTGGAAACAACTTAAATGTCCATCAGCAGGTCAGTGGATAAGCACAATGCCGTATGTCCATACAATAAACTATTCCACTGAGAAGAGAAAAAGAAGGAAGACACTACTGATATAAGCTGCTATATGGACAGACCTCAAAAATCATTATCCTAAGTGAAAGGAGCCAGACACAAGAGACCACATATTGTCTGATCTCATTTATATGAAATTGCTAGAAAAGGCAACTCTGTAGAGTCAGAAAGTAGCTGGATGGCTGCCTGGGGCAATGTGGGGGATGGGAGTCAGGATTAATGATGAATATGAGGATTTCATTAGGGTGATAGAAATGTCCCATCTATTTTGTGCTTTATGGTGATGCTTGAACCACTTGGTCAATTTATGAAAAGCCAGTTGTTCACTTGAAAAGGGTGAGGTCCATGATATATAAAATAGACCTCATAAAGTCAGAGGAGGTAGTTGGGGAGGGGAGGGGTGGAGAAGGAGGAGAGAGAGGAGAGGGGAGAACTGAGAATATGGGGAATAAGAAAGAGAGCAGAGTTGGCTGGAGCCAGGCTGTTTGGATCTGAAATCTTTTTTTTTTTTTTTAAATATATTTTATTGTTTTTTTACAGAGAGGAAGGGAGAGAGATAGAGAGCTAGAAACATCAATGAGAGAGAAACATCGACCAGCTGCCTCTTGCACACCCCCTACTGGGGATGTGCCCGCAACCAACGTACATGCCCCTGACAGGAATCGAACCTGGGATCTTTCAGTCCGCAGACCGACGCTCTATCCACTGAGCCAAACCGGTTTCGGCTGGATCTGAAATCTCTTAGCTCTAGTTTCCTGTCAGTAAAGTTGGGGAAAATAAATTACTAACCACAAAGCAGGGTTAGGAGGACTATGACAATACACCAAGAGTGCTTATTAACCCAGAGTTTGCACCAGAGAGCTCAATACATATTGCCCATCATCATAATAGTTGTTATTGGTAGTACCGTAGTATTTAATCTACCAAGCATCCAGCTCTGGTTTAGATCAGTTTAATTCAAATCTTGGAGGAGGGTTGGACTGTGGCGTGCAGAGAGCAGCAGCTGGTCCTGTGGAAATGACTCCCGAGGAACCTGAGACCCATAGCTTGGGGGTCGTTGGGCATGTGGAGGCTGGGGGATGGGAGCACTGGAACTTTGGGAGCACAAGGACATTTCTTCATGGCAGCACCATTTATGGAGGCGTCACTCTGCCTCCCATCCATGTGTGATATTGTAACCTCAATCCAGCAAGATTTACGCTACACGCTCCATGCCAGGTCCTACGGGGCAGAGGAGGGCGAACCTTGTCCATGAGGGTTTCTAGAGGAGGTGATGCCTCGCTGAGACGTAAGAATCCCTTGATGTTCCCCAGATGTGGGGTGAGGAGAGCTCCCCAGGCAGAGAGGACAGCTTGAGCGAACCCCGGGTGGTGAAGGGATGGATAGGGAGCTTGCTGAATTCAGGGAAGTCTGATATGAAGAACGGAGTGACAGACATCAAGGCCGGGGTCCCCCCATGGAGGGCCTTGTGTGCTGTGATAAAGAACTTGAGCTTCTCTGGGGCACAGTGAGGGCCAGGGAAGCATTCTAAGCAGGTCCAAGGCCAGCTCCGGGCTCTTCCATCAGATGTGCCCAGAGGCACCTTGGGGGATCTTGCTCTGTTGATGAGGAGCCAAGAAAAGCCGTCCTAGATGTCTGGGGCCAGTGTTTTGCATTTATCCTCCTCAGGAATAGACATTCCTGCTGAAACCAGTGTGGCTCAATGGATAGAGCGTCGGCCTGAGGACTGAAAGGCCCTGGGTTCAATTCTGGTCAAGGGCATGTACCTTGGTTGTGGGCACATCCCCAATAGGGGGTGTTCAGGAGGCAGCTGATCGGTGATTCTCTCTCATCGATGTTTCTAACTCTCTATCCCTCTCTGTAAAAAAAAAAAAAATCAATAAAATATGTTTTTTTAAAAAAAAGAATAAACATTCTTGCAAGGACCACATGCAAGGACAGGGGCTGACACACTGTCTCATGGCTCCCACGAGGGGCCTCAGAGGCATACTGTGGTGGCCGAGAGAGCCCGTCTGCAGGGCCAGGTCTCGGAAAAGCAGGGGACTTGTCCATGTTTCATCCACTCCATCCTGGGCGCCTGCCAGGCCGAGAGCCCATTCATAAGCCCCAGCTGTGGGGGCAGGTATTGTGCTCGTTACTATAGCATCACCTTGGAACGGATCACTCAGTGATCACAGCCAAGCCGGGGGAGGCGCAGGGGGATGTGGTCAGAGGCAGCAGGAGGGGCGGGAGACACTCCACCAGGGCTGGATGCTGTGGCTGCTGGCCTTGCTGGTCTGGGAGCACCTTGCGGGCTGGAGCCCACTCCACCTCTCCAGCTGCCGCCCCAGGGAGGGAGCGGGGCTGCTCTCAGCCTGAGGCAGCCCCACAGCTGCTGCGGAGCCTGGAGCTTTGCAAGGGGCTGAATTCCCAACCAGGCTCCCTTGGCCTGGCCTCTTTTTGTGTGTGTGTGTGTGTGTGTGTGTGTGTGTGTGTGTGTGTGTGTGTGTATGGAGGGTGTTGTCTCAACGTGAAAGATCTGGGCTGAGTTTCATCTCCTTCTTGATTTAAAGAAGTTATCTGCATGGGAACTGACTTCAGACTGCTCATCGAGGACAGCAGAGTGGTCCCCAGGCTGGCAATGAGGGAGGATGACAGCGTCTGAGACTGGCTGGTAACCAGCTCCAAGGTGTCCCCCACGCAAAATGCCTTCCCAAGCATTGGATACCTTCAAGGAGAAAATCCTGAAACCCGGGAAGGAAGGAGTGAAGAATGCCGTGGGAGATTCGCTGGGGATTTTACAAAGGTAAAGTTTGAATGCCAACTTCAGGCTTATTTCTGAGCAGCTTCGCATTGCCAGTGCTTCAGGGATTTTGCTTAATGTTTTTAAAGACGCATTTCTAACAAGCAGAAGGTGGGTCAGATTCGACGGCTCTGGAGCCCCTTCCAGCTCCAGCAGACTGTGCCCGGGGAGGGAGAGATACATCCAAAGTATAGGGTTCTGCTGAGACAGCAGGACTAGCACTTACTGGACGTGGTGATTTATGTCGCGTGTGTTTGGCATTGAATTAGGAAAGGCTTAGGAAAATGGCACTTCATATTAATTCTCTAGGAATGAAATATAAGGTTATGCTTGGAGCTGAAATAATTTTTTTAAGAAAATTTTTTACTTCATTTCCCCTCCACTGTAAATGAAAATAAGATATTTGCAAACCGTTTAGCTTGCCATATAAACTATATAGAGTGGTTCCTGATTGTGTAAAAGTGTAATTATACCATAGTTTGAAGAAGGTAACTTAGGAAATTAGTATTCTTTAAAGCAGAAAGTCTCACATGATTTTAGTGGGAAATGTTAAGGACTATCATTGAGTTAAATGCTTTGGACCAAACAAAAAATAATAAATATTTTTTTTAAAAAATTAAAATATATTATTATTGAAAGGAGAGTTTACTCTAAGTGAATGAATTGATGTGACATTTTAATTTGTGGTTGTTTTTTTTTTATAGACATAGTAAGTGCCTTCCTAGGTTTTTATTGATGAATTAGTAAGCAGTCCTCATGCACAAGGTAAAATGACTCCCTTAATCTCTGTAATATAAATAAATGTGAAAAATACCCTTGTTAAGATTTTTATGTGCTTGAAATATTATTTCTAATCATGGTAAGTGAAAATGTCACCTGGTATCTCTTTTAACTTTTCTATGTTATCTCTTAAATTTAAAAACATTAGCATGCAACTTGTCTAGGCACACTGAGGTTCATTTCACTTCTTGTGTTTTATAGCACAGGGGCTCCTGTGGGTGTTACATTTTTTGTTGTGTCACTCTTTTTTAAAAAAAGTATATATATACTTTTTATATATATGTAATTTCAGAGAGGAAGGGAGTGGGAAAGAGAGAGAGAAACACCAGTGATGAGAATCATTGATAGGCTGCCTCCTCCAGGCCCCACACTGGGGATCGAGCCTGCAACCCAGGCATGTGCCCTTCTCAGGCATCAAACCATGACCTCCAGGAATCAAATTGCGACCTCCTGGTTCGTAGGTTGATGCTCAACCACTGAGCCACACCAGCTGGGCTATTGTGTCACTCTTGATGAGATTTCATAGTCAGAGAACTGGGTTGTGCACTTTCTTATTTAATTAAAAACAAAAAGCTTCCAATCAGACCCCATTATCATGTAGAAATGAAAACCTAGTTTGGTGAAAGCATGATAAACGTGCCGAATACAGGCTATGATTAAAAGAGTTCATTCTTAATTCTTTTAAGAGTGTTTTGTCCTTCCTGTTGAGCCTTCCCCCAGTAACACCTTGTTGTGGTGGTGTTCCTTTGATTAAAAATGCAGACAAGGATGCATGGTGGCTTCCCTGGCATAGTCACCTGATGACAAAGGAATCTGACAAAGTCAGGAAGAAAAACCATGACATTGGACCATAGTCGCCATTTATAATCACCGGACTCTTGGCAAAGGGTCCTTAAGAATTTTCTTTTCCAACTTTAAGTTGAATTCCTATTTTGAAATTCTGTCCGTTTTCTTTCTTTCTTTTTTCTTTTTTCAATAAGAGACTTCTCTTCGGCGCAGGTTTTGCTGTTTGAGTAGATGAGCCACTTAAAAATCCTTTTTTTTTTTTTTGCCAGCTGGTTTACTTAGGCATATAACAACATTACTAATTTCCAAGTTGTGTGACCTCAATCTAGAACCGAGGCTCTGTATTTCAGACTCCGAACAGTTTCCTCGGAACGGAATCCTGGAACAATCACAGTCCCTGCGCTTGGGATAGAGAGCGCACTAAATGCACGCTGGATGTTAGCAGTGCCCTCACAATTGTTAGGATGACTTTAGCTGAAATGGAGCCAAACTCAGACCCCTTCCTTGAGTGATCCCCACAGGGGAATTATTGGCCTAGGAAGGAAACAAAGGCATTAATGGACCAGTGGTCTGCGTTGATGCTCAGCTCTAGCGGTCTTTGAGCTGGGCTCCAGAATCAGGGCTTCTCCAGTGAGACCAGCTCTGCCACACACTTGGTGTCAGTTAATCTCAAGAATGGAAGATAATGACATATAAAATGTTTTGCCCAGGGCCTGGCTTCTAATAGTGGACATCCTCTCCCTTGTTGATTTTTCACACTAAGCCAGGGGACTGAATCCAATGTAAAAAAAAAAAAAAAAAAAAATCACAAAGCATGACTTCCTGTTGTGTAAGGGACAAGAGTCAGAACATTTGGAAGTTAGAAATACCGACTTTCTGAGCACACAAGGTACATCGTAGATGTCTGTTAATGTTTGAGACTGAAAACATCAGCTAAGTGAAATTCATGAGTTGCTCTTGAACCACAGAGAGTTGCTCATGGTCAAGGGCGTGGCAGGTGCACAGGGGAGTGTTTGAAGTTCCCACGTGAGGCTGATACAGTCAGGCACTGGTAGGCTTCCTTGAGAGCAGTCATTGATAAGCAGCAGCTGACCAACTTCATGAGCTAACGGTACAATAATATTTCAGAAGTGTGGGAAGAAAGATGATGCACTCACTTATTGTCCAGTATTGGACCACCTGGCATAGACGGCATCGACTCGGGACATTAATGTCCAGAAATTGATAGATTTTTCCAACTTAAATGACAATATGGGTGTCCTCTAGATATGTGTAATAAATGATAATAGCAAACACAATGGTCCAACTACTATGAACTTATTTAATTTTATCAATGCTTTGAGGTAGGGCCAATTACAATCACAGTTTTACAGATGAGGAAGCTGAGGCACAGAGAGGTTAAGTAAGTTGCTCAACGTCATAATGTAGCCAGCAACCTCTGGATCTTTTTTTAAATATATATATTATTGATTTTTTTTTTTTTACAGAGAGGAAGGGAGAGAGATAGAGAGTTAGAAACATTGATGAGATAGAAACATCCATCAGCTGCCTCCTGCACACCCCCTACTGGGGATGTTCCCACAACCAAGGTACATGCCCCTGACCAGAATTGAACCTGGGACCCTTCAGTCTGCAGGCTGATGCTCTATCCACTGAGCCAAACTGGTTTTGGCAACCTCTGGATCTTAACTCAAACTCCCCAAGGGAGACTGCGGGGGATTCTGCTCTCCTTGCAAGTACTTATACTTCCCCTTTAAAGAGGTGGAACCAATACTTTCCAAGCAGGAGAAGTGGCCTCCTCTGCAGGTCCAGAGGGTTCGGAGGAATTCAGGGTATTAGATGTTCAAGTGCATCTATCCCCTAACCCAAGTCTCAGATACCCTTTCATCCAGGTTCTCAGGATACCATTTCTTATCAGGACCTCAGCTTTGGTGAAAGAGACCTACCTCAGCTCAGAATTCCACCTCCCCTGGAGTTCTGCTGTTTTGTTTTTTAAAAATTAAGCTTTTGTTTTGGAATGATTTTAGACTCACAGAAAAGTTGCCGAGATAGTACAGAGATGTTCTATATACTCCTGACTTGGTTTCCACCAATGTGCACAGCTTACATTACTAGGGCACATCGGTCAAAACTAAGGCACCAACACTGATGAATTACTGATTACTCCCCACACTTTATTAAAGTTGCATAACTTTTTCCACTGATGTCCTTTTTCCTGTTCTAGGATCCAGTCCAGATACCACATTGCACTTAACCGTCCTGTTCCCGTAATCCCCTCTGATCTGGGACTGTGTCTCAGCCTCTTCCTGCTCTTCATGGCTGGGGTGGTTTGGAGAAATACTGACTGGGTGTTTTGTAGACAGTCCCCTGGTTTGGGAAACTCAGTGAAGCACATTGTTGGAGACACGGCCTCTGATGTGGGGCCCGCATCCCATTTCAGATGACTCCATTTCCTCATCTACTTCGTGGGGTTGTTATGAGATTGCAATGACTTATTGCCTCTCACCGGGCCACGCAGGATCCAGAATATCAGTTATTTTAGCCTTTATAATTTATTGTAGTGAGAATAGTGATAACATTAAAAAACACAGGCTGGCCCTGGCCAGTTTGGCTCAGCGGATAGAGCATCAGCCTGCAGACTGAAGGGTCCCAGGTTTGATTCTGGTCAAGAGCATGTACCTTGGTTGCAGGCACATCCCCAGTAGGATGTGTGCAGGAAGCAGCTGATGGATGTTTCTCTCTCATCCATGTTTCTAACTATCCCTCTCCCTTCCTCTCTCTTAAAAATCAATAAAATATATATTTTTAAAAATGCAGGCTGCATCCTCCCTGTGTTTCCCTTCTCCTTTCTCGGGACACTTTCTTCTTTGTGACTAGCACGTTTTGTTTTTCTCCATTCCTGCCCTTTCTTCTCTGCCCGCTGTTCCTTCTCTGTTTTTCTCCATTCCTGCCCTTTCTTCTCTGTTTTCCGCTGTAGAAAAATCGACGGGACCAACGAGGAAGCGAATGACATCGAGCTGAATGAGGAGGGGAGGCCGGTGCTGGCGTCCAGGCAGAGCCCCCCGCTCTGCGACTGCCAGTGCTGCGGCGTCCCCAAGCGCTACATCATCGCTATCATGAGCGGCCTGGGGTTCTGCATTTCCTTCGGGATTCGGTGCAACCTCGGAGTGGCCATCGTGGAAATGGTCAACAACAGCACCATCTACGTGGATGGAAAACCGGAAATTCAGGTCAGGGTCCGTCTGCGGGGGGAGCTTGTTTGGCGGTAGCTGTGCAAATACGTGACCATGTGAAAGAGAGCACGGCACCTCATTCGTTGGTGTGACGAAAAGGTAGAGGGCACCGAGCAAGGTGATGGGATAGATGCTGAGCAACGCAGGCTGGGCGGCGGTTCTCACAGAGACATACAAGCAGGCGTTTACAATTCGGGGGTCTAGGTGCTATGTTGGGGTGTTCAGAATGGTCGGGATCATAGAAGGGAGGGGACTTAGTACAGACTAATATTGTGAAAGAATTCCCAGAGAAAGTGAGGGCTGGAGCTGAAGGATGAGGAAGACTTTAACAATAAAGGTTTCGATGGGGGAGAAATAAGAATCTTTGAACATTATGTGTCCAAGTCTAAAGGGGGAGGAAAGAGAGAGAGAGAGAGAAAGAGAGAGAGAGAGAGAGAGAGAGAGAGAGAGAGAGAGAGAGAGAGAGAGAGAGAAGGAGTGATGAATTTAAAACTGAGACAGGAGTTCATCTTTTCTGTGTCATGATTGGCAGCCCGGTGAAGACTTATGAACTGTTTGTCAAAATCATGTTTTAAATTCTTAAAACTAAATCTATAAGATTGTAAAAGAAACTAATATTAAAATACAGATATCAAAATCTTTGAAAATAAAATTTGCAATACAGACACCTAGGAGTTTCTTTATGAACACATCAGATGACAAAATCTAGCAATGGGTCTAAACATCAGTGTGCTTTTGAATGTGAACTATAAACCGTAGTTTGAGACAGTGGCAACAACAAGTCACATGCGGATGTGACCATATCGATAATTCCCACTACTAATGGAATCATAGGTCCTGAGAATACGACTGTGGTTTGTCGCCCACATTCATAATTGCAGAAAACGCCAAATTTCAGTTAGCAGTTAGTAGAAATAAAGATACTGATTTCCCCCCATCCAGTTCACAGATCCCCATTCACAGATTCCAGAGTGAGAACCCCATAGGGGAATAGATTGGGGGGTGAGCATCAGGAGATGGAGGCAGCAAGGGAAAAGGGTCAGGTCATGTCAAGCCTGGTAAACCGTGTAGGCAGTCACAGATGGACTTTAAGGAGAGGCCATACTGTCAGATCTGTGCTCCACAACAGGGGGCTGAGGGCAGGTTTGACGTGAGTGGAAGCAGGAGGCCCAGTTTCAGGCTGTTGTAGTCACAAGGGAGCATACTCTGACGTGACTTAAATAGCGTTGTTTTTATGAATCACCGGAAAGTCAAAAATCTCCTTTGCTTATTTTTATTTATTTTATCTTTATTGATGAAAGTATTACAAATGTCTCCCCCTTTTCCCCATTGACTCCCTCCACTCTGTCCCCCCAGGGCCACAGTATTGCCTATGTCCATGTGTTAAGCATATATGCATATAAGTTCATTGGTAATATATATATATATATATATATATATATATATATATATATATATATATATATATATATTGATTTCAGAGAGGGAGGGAGAGGGAAAGAGAGATAGAAATATCAATGATGAGAGAAAATCATTGATTGGCTGACTCCTGCATATCCCCTACTGGGGATCAAGCCCGCAACTTAGGCATGTGCCTTTGACCAAAATCGAACCTGGGACCCTTCAGTCCACAGGCTGACACTCTATCCACTGAGCCAAACCAGCCAGGGCTCATTGGTTAATATCTTAAATGGGAGGCCTAAAGAATCATTGAAAAGAAAGATGAAAATAGATGTCCAATAGATACCCAATACATGCATGTTTCCTTGTATTGAACCCATGCATTGGAATGACGGGTGGAAATCCATCCATTTGTGGAGAGGCATCTAATAGTTGTGTGGTCTGGTCCCTGCCCACAATTGAACACACATTTAGACCAGAGTGTCCCACACTGGTGTCTGGCCAGTCAGTGCTCTGTGGGCTGTGCTGTAAAGAAGGCGCTGCTGTGTGACATGAGAGCCTTCCCTGTGCTGTGCTCTACGGGGAACCTCAGAGGGGGCCATGGAACGCGGTGCTTCCCAGACATGATTGCAGAACGCCTTCCTTCATGCCGCCTCTGTTAGCATTACCCGGACCAGTTCCTGCCAAGCACTGATGTGGGAAAAGCTGATTTCAATCCATTAAAAAGAAGTCTTGAGTTGGTCTGCAGGCTTTTTTTGAATTTTAATTGAATTTATTGGGATGACATTGGTATATTATGTTGTGTATTCACCACCCAATGTCCCCATTTACCCTCCATTTACCCTCTCATATCTCCCCCACCCCTTTCCCGCTGGTAGTCATCATACTGTCTGTGTCAGGTTTTCCTGTTTGTTGGTTTAATCGCCTCACCTTTTTCACCCCAGCCCCTCTCCCCTCTGACAGCGGTCAGTCTGTTCTCTGTATCTATGAGTCTGTTTCTAAGTTGTTTGTTTATTTTGTTCATCAGATTCCACACATGAGAGAAATCACATGGGATTTGTCTTTCTCTGCCGGGCTTATTTCACTTAGCGTAGTGCCCTCCAGCTGCCACAAGGCCTTTTCTAAGAGATTATTCTGCTAGAAGAAAAGAGCTCCACAGAGATTCTTCTGACTCATCCCTTTGATGTCACAGCTACACCTGTTCGAAAGGATACCCTTGTTTATTTTCACTGGGGGGGGGGGGGGGGCGGGATAGGGGCAGGCCGTCGAGGGGCAGTGAGCAAATCATGCATTTTTAAAACAAAGAGCAATGAGCATCAGTGAGCTTGCAGATGTGTGTCGCATGCATCCTCCTGGCCTTTTGTGAGCGAGGCCAGCTCATTAAACCTCGTGAGCCGCGGCCCAGATCACAATGCGATGCCGGTGTGCGTTTGTTTGCCGCCTGAGACCATACGCCTAGGTCGGTAGAGTCCGCTGTGAGGCCCACGGAAAAGGCCTTTTGATAAACCCGAGCACCAATGCTGGTGTACCACGCTGGTGTGCGCTCTGTAGTTTCTATGGCTTTGCCCTCTGGAATCTTACAGAAACTGATTAAGATCTAAAATATACTTGACGTCATTTTTCGCTGGCGGTGAAAGTAGAAGTTGAGTAGCATTTCGAAGCTCTAACCAGCTCTCATATAGGGTAGTAGGCTGTTTCTCTCTTATCCACACAGAACAGAGCTCAGATATCAGCTCATTGGTCAGCCTGATGCCAAAGCAATTCCACTAATTGTATCAATAAAGGCCTTGTATGGCTGCTAATTTTGTTTGTTTGATTTTTTCCTTTTAGGGAGAGAGAACTAGATATTTTGCACAGAGATCACTTTAAATTCCTCTTTTCAAAAGAGCGAGAGGCTTAAGCAGTATGACTATTAGATAGGTCTTGCAAATACGTGGTATATATATCCCACTGCTGGTATAAAAGGTCATTTTAGCTGATGTGTGAATGATCAGCTGCAATTCCATAATTATGAGGTTTAGAGAATGTGAACCTAGCATATGGTAGGCAATAAATGATGGGAGCTGGAGAAACGATTATTTCTTGTTACCCTCAGGAAAAGTTTAGACGCCTTCCTGTGAATCAAGAGCTCTGTAAGATTTAGAGCTTGGACTTTGGAACTGGCCAGGCCCGGTTTCAAACTTGACTCTTGTTTATTAGCTCTGAGGCCTTGAGCAAGTTGCCCTTGTGTCCTGGGAAGGGTTCGCTGGTTACAAAAGAATAGGAATTCAGTGGAACTGGGTCGAGTTAAAAAGGGAATCATGGGAGGCTAGCGGGGATCTCAGGAAAGGGGAGGGCGGAGAGCAGCGCTCCTGTGGACATGTGTCCCGCATGTGCCCTGGACGGGTGGGTGGGGGTGGGCGGTAGCCTGCGGTGGGACTGACATCCGGGCTGCTCTCCACTGTGAGGAGGAAAGGTGTCTTTATGTAACTGTTTCCAAGGCACGAACAGAGGCCCTGCCAGGAAGGCAGAGCAGAGCTGTACCTCCTGGGAGCCAGGAACCCCGTAGCTAAGGCCTCTAGCACACTCACTCCTCATGGCTCTCCTCTGCTTCTCTCTGAATCTGCTCCATCCTCCGAGCCTCTCCATGGACTGTTCTCTTGCCTTTCCTATGGTTCCTCACTGCTCTCAAAGCTGAATTTCTTGAGCCTTTACTAGTAACTGACCCTGACTCCAGTGGGCCTTGTTTCAGTTCAGTACTGTTTAACTAGAATCTCTGGGTTCAGATTGGAGAGGGAGAGGGAGGAAGGTAGGAGGGAGAGAGGGAGGGCGATAGAGATAGAGATAGAGATAGAGATAGAGATAGAGATAGAGATAGAGATAGAGATAGAGATGATAGATACCCTGTTTCCCCGAAAATAAGACAGTGTCTTATATTAATTTTTTCTCCCAAAGTTGCGCTAGGTCTTATTTTCAGGGGATGTCTTATTTTTCCATGCACTAGGTTTTATTTTCAGAGGATGTCTTATTTTGGGGGAAACATGGTAGATAGGGAGAGATAGAGGGGAAAAAATCACGGAGATAAACAGAGGCTATCTGGCTCAGTCCAGCCTTACCTATTTCTATTAAGATGTTCATTCAGCAGGGGAGAGGCCCAGGGTGCTGAGAGGAAGGGGGAATCCTCTTGGAAGGAATTGGTGGTTACAGAACAGTCATGGGGACGTAAAGTACGACTTAGGGAATGTAGTCAATAATAATGTATTTGTCTGGGGCCAGCTGGAAATATTGGGGGGGGGGGGCATTTTGTAAAGTTTATGATTGTCTAGCCACTATGCTGTACACCTGAAACTAATATAAATAATATTGAATGTAAACTGTAATTGAAAAAAATAGAAAAATGTGAGCAAGAAGATGGAATTATTTGCTAACTTTATTTCCCTCATTGTGAAATGGGGATAAAAGACCTACTTTATAGATCAAATATGGAACTAATACGTATATTAAGTACCTGTATTCGTTCCCTAAGGCTGCCATAATAAATGACAGGAACTGATTCTCTCACAGGTGTGGAGACCAGAAGTCCAAACTCAAGGTGTCTGCAGGGCGGTGCTCCCTCCCACGGCTCTAGGGGAGGATTCTTCCTGCTCTCTCCCAGCTTCTGGTGGCTCCAGGCCTTCCTTGGCTCAGGGCAGCATCCCTCCAGTCTCTGCCTGTCTTCACAAGGCCTTTTCCTATCTGTCTCAAATCTCCCCGGCCTTTCTCTTATAAGGGTGCTTGTCATAGGGTTTAGGGCCCAGCTGGATAATCCAGGAAAACTCAACTCCAGATCCTTGACTTTATCACGCCAGCAAAACCCTTTTCCCAATAAGACAGCATTCATAGGTTCCAGGATTTTGTGTGTCTGCCTCTTGGGGACCATGTTTACAGCCTAACACAGTGCCTGATACAGTGCTTGACTTATGCTAATGGTTCATACTGGGGGTTATTATGATTCTAAGGAGACTCAGATAAATGGTATCTATGCATATATATCATAATATATGATAGTATATATATTTGGTATATATAATATATATGTTATAATATATATATAAATATGTACACGCATATATATCATATATACATATGTGTAAATTCATACACAGTCTCTCACTACAAGCTGAGCTCCCTGAGAGCAGGTATTTTGTCGTGATCACTGCTATATCCAAGCAAACAAGGGCCATCCATACATAATTATTGAATAAGCAAAAGAAAGAAGGAACTCATGGGATTATTATGTAGGATCCTCAGTGAAAAATGGCGGGCAAGTGTTTTCTTACAAACGTAACTGTATATGATTTCTCATTTTCAGGTAGCACAGTTCAACTGGGATCCAGAGACGGTGGGCTTTATCCATGGCTCTTTTTTCTGGGGTTATATTGTGACCCAAATTCCAGGTGGTTTCATTTCAAACAAGTTTGCTGCTAACAGGTAAGATCAACTGATATGACATGAGTGCTGTTCAGACCGTAGCATGGCTTTGCATTTCTACCAAGTCTGCAGAGCTGGCTCTCAATGTGGGGATAGAGGAGAGACAGGAGCCATTCCAACAGATATCAATCCCATATGATCCTGTTCTTCAGAATCTCTTTTTATTGAATCTAATTTATCTTGATTATGTAGTAAAAAAAATTTGACTCCGAGTCACTCACTTGATGCCCTCTACTGAGTAACCTTCCCTCCTTCTCTAGGCCTCAGCTTGCGCACCTGTGAAATGGAGCATGGGTTAGATTGTGTGTGGGTTCCCTGTGACCCGTGACATTCTGTGATCCTATGTAAATATTGTCATGTACCCTACAGGTTTTGTCATGTGAGTAGGGACTGGCCTCTAGATCGCAAGATGTCTTTAATGCCCTTAATATTCAATAGCAGGTGTTTGGTCAACTAAAAGTAGCCAAGCCAGAATGAGGTGCCATGAGTTCTGTTACTGGAGGGATTCCAGCCAAAGAGAATGGCCACTGGGAGGCGAGGGAGGGTGTATATGTACCAGAAAGAAGTGCACTGAATGTCCCAGGCCCCTTCCACTTGTGTGTCCGGTTTGATCTCATATACATGGATTTTGTGAAATATGCATTTTATAAAGCAGCACTTTTCAAATTCTAAAACACAACTCTTTAGATAGTAATGAAATCAATATAATGATGTACCATGAGCATTTTTTAAAGAGAGAGAGAGAGAAGATAATTAAATAGAAGAAAATAGCATAAAATATCTTAGCTCATTGTACATTTAAGTTTTGGTTTTTAAAATTTGTTTTGGCTACATTTGTGTGTATGAATATGTCTTAGGTTGCTGTATAAAATATATTTTGTTTTATGGGTCAAGGTAAAAAAAAGTTTTGAAAGTCACTATCATAGAATAAATATATATAAGCAAGACTGTATTTATGTTCTTGTCTAATTTATGTCCCTTTTTATTTCCACTTACCTATTATATTCTTTTTTTTTTTTTAAAGTGATAACATGTTGGCTCCTATGATCTCTTGGGTTACTGCTTACATGTCTGCCGCAAAAAGAAATCATACATAATTTCCCAGCATGTAAAACGGGCTGACGCATCATGAACAGGTGTGAGAGAGCAGGGCATTAAAGACTGCTGTCTGCTTTCTCCCACACTGGTTAAGATGGGGAGGACAAGGCACAGGCAGAGAGTCGGGGGCTGAGACAGGTACACAGCCCGCCTTGTGCTTGGCTGATCCCAGGATACAGCATGCTTCTCAGATAGTCTGTATCCCCTCCTGGTAACGTGAGAGCAGAATGGTGCAGCCCAAATGTGCACAAGTCGCCAGGCATTGGTCAGAATGGATCCACTGTGGTGGGTCTCCAGGAACCCACCACATGCGGGTCAGTCTCCAGCATCAGGACCTCATCCAGGCAGGTCATTCTTGTATTGCTAAAAACATGCCCCTGACTGGTCCAGGGTCTGGAGCTTGGGAACCAAAGCAGCCCAGCAGTCTAGTTTGGGACATACTACACTGTAACACATCCATTTTTCTTCCTGTTAATTCCCATAGTGGTCCTCCAGAAACTGTTTTTTTTTTTTTTGTTTTTTTGTTTTTTGTTGTTGTTTTGTTTTGTTTTGTTTTGTTCCTAATGTTTAACTAAACTGCCACAACGATGAGCAGGCCTAACACAGTGTTTTGGTCCCTCAGGGTCTTTGGAGCCGCCATCTTCCTAACATCGACCTTGAACATGTTCATTCCTTCTGCAGCCAGAGTGCATTACGGCTGCGTCATGTGTGTCAGGATTTTGCAAGGTCTGGTGGAGGTAGGAGATGCTCCCCCTCACAGTTTTCCATCTTTTTGTTGGAGACAGCATGGTCCTTTAGGAAATTCCGCTTCTGAAGGAAGCTCCCTCTACTCGGTTTTCCTGTCTTCCACCTTGTTTTGCTATCTCACTTAACTGGTTATGACCACCATTATGAACACTTTATTTATTTATTTTTTAAATTTCTCTTTCATTGACTGGTTTATTTCACTTAGCATTATGTTCTCCAATTCCTTTTTTATTTTATTTTTTAATTTTAATTTTTTATTTATTTATTTATTTTAAATCAATCTTTATTGTTCATATTATTACAAAGGTTCCTCATTTCTTCCCCCTTCCACCAGGTTCCCACCCCACCCTCCGCCCCCTCCCCACCCCCCATTGTCTCATCCATAGGTGCACAGTTTATGTTCAGTCTCTTCCTCCCTCCCTTTCCCTGAGAACAGTCAGTCCACTCCCCTCCCATAAATGGACACATTGCATTATGAACACTTTAATTTAAACATAATAAAGGGCCATTGCATAGAGTGTAGAATTTTAGATGTGTAAGAAATGATCTTGGAGATAACCTGATCCAACCCTTTTCATTTAATAAATGATGAAACCTAAGCCCTAAACATAGCAAGAGCTCTTCCCACTGACGCAATTGAAATGGATTTATTAATAAATCTGTGAAGTTTTAGAGTGTAGCTTACAAAGAGATTTAACTCAATGAAGGAGGTAGCATGATATAGCCAGAGGACTTGGCCAACTCCTCAAGTCTGCCATTATGGTGCAAAAGTAGTTGGAGCCAATGTTAATCAATGGGCATGGTTATATTCCCAAAAACAAAGAACCTCATCATAACAATTCTCTTTTTAAAATTTAAATTACTTATTGTTTAAAGTATTACATAAGTCTTCTTTTTCACCATTGACCTCTTCCAGCCACCCCTCCAGCACACCTCCCTCTCCTCCTCCCCTCCCCCCGTGTCCACTGGTTATGCTCATATGCATGCATACAAGTCCTTTGATTGATCTCTTACCCCTTCACCCCCCCACCTTCCCTCATAGGTTGGGCAGCCCATAACAGTTTTTGAAATCAGGGATATGAAGTGCTAGTTACTTATTTTCTGAAGCATATTAGAATATATATGCCACAATTATATTAAAAAATGTAGGTTGTTGTAGCACTAGCTTCACTAGTCCTAACTCTAATCCCACCAGAAGGATATATATCACATTCCCCAAAATACTGGCATGATGGGAAGAACATGATATTGCAGCCATGAGACTAGATTCTACTTACTTAATGGCTCTGAGCCTCAGGTTCTGTATCTTGAAATGAGAGGATGCACTAGGTGATTACGGAAGTCCTTTTCTTCTTTCTTTCTTTCTTTCTTTCCTTCTTTCTTTCTTTTTTCTTTTCTTTTTTTTTTTTTTAAGATTTGAGAGTAAGCTAACATCGTAGGTGGTAGTTAAAGCCATGGAAAAGTATTTTTTAAAGAAGAATTAAAAAAAAATTGATTTGAGAGAGAGAGAGAGAGGGAGAGAGAGATTTGTTGTGTCTCTTATTTATGCAGTCGTTGGCTCTTTCTTGTATGTGCCCTGATGGGGATCAAACCTGCAACGTTGGTATATTGGGGACAATGTTCTAACCAACTGAGCTACCTGTCCAGGACTCAGAAGAAGTCTCTTCTTTCCTTCTTTCCTTCCTTCCTTCCTTCCTTCCTTCCTTCCTTCCTTCCTTCCTTCGTTCCTTCCTTCCTTCCTTCCTTCCTTCCTTCCTTTCTCTTCCTTTCTTTCATTTTTTTAAAAAAGAAATCCCTTTCTATAGTGATATTCTGTATAATATGAAATACAAAGACCTCCTCCCCCATTCTCCACCATGCTTATCTTTGAATTGGTATTCAGATCTATGCTGTCAGTCCAAGTAGCTGACACATGCTATTTGGTGTCTATGAATTGGGCTTTTACATGGTAGTCGCTATTAAAGAATCAGGGTCCATATTTTGAAGACAAAAACAAAAACTGGAGTCAAATCAAATAAATATCTATTTTCAACCATTTTGCCAGGGTGTGACCTACCCAGCCTGCCACGGGATGTGGAGCAAGTGGGCGCCACCTTTGGAGAGAAGCCGACTGGCTACGACCTCTTTTTGTGGTGAGTGTATTAGGGTCGTGCGTTTCTTTTAGGTATCAATCAACGCAGCTGTGAAATATTTTTATTTTATTTTTTAAAGCAGGGGAGGGCCCAGGAAGACAAAAATGCCTTAGGAGGCAAAAGTCACGATGGGGCCTGGGCCGAACTAGGATCAGAATTTAGGTCAGTCTAGTTTTTCAAAATAACGTGCCTTTCCTGAGAGAAGGTAACCTGAGCTAATGCTAAAGGAGAAAGAACGATTCCTCTTTATTTCTGAGGATATTTGTATTTTCTCCCTTGTTCTTCCTCTTTACCTACTTCAATCATCATCATCATCCCTGGCAGCAGTGTGACATACTCACCAATGTGCCCATTTTGTGCCCATTTTGGAACTGCACGCACCGCTGAGATGTCCTGTCATCTTTAGCATCTCTTGTCTTCAGAAACCACTCCTGTCCTCTTGTTTGCAGTCCAAGATCATTTCTACTCACACTATTGACCTTTTACCAATTCTAGAAGAAGGTACAGCCCCAGCCAATCTTGTGAACTGTCAGATCCTGGGCCCAATTTTCCTTGAATGGTTTACTTATGAGGCCTTGCATTTTTGATTTGCCAGCAAAACAAGGGTGACTAGTGCCGCTCCTCATGCTTAGTGTCTTTCGGAAGTGGTTTGACTCTCAAAGGAAGGTACCTGGTCACAGCCACAGGCTTTATTACATTTCCCGCTAAGGTGTCGAAGAAGAGCCACGGCAAAATACCATTAGAAGGAGACCCAAGCTTGGGGTCCAAAGGTTCCTACACTTAAAAAATATTGGAGTTAGCCAAAACCGGTTTGGCTCAGTGGATAGAGTGTCGGCCTGGGGACTGAGGGGTCCCAGGTTCGATTCCAGTCAAGGGCATACCTTGGTTGCGGGCACATCCCCAGGAGGGGGTGTGCAGGAGGCAGCTGATCAATGTTTCTCTCTCATTGATGTTTCTAACTCTCTATCCCTCTCCCTTCCTCTCTGTAAAAAAATCAATAATATATATTTTAAAAATATTGGAGTTAGAAGGGACTTTAGAAACATCTAATTATAGCCATTGTTTTAGAGAGGAAACAAAGGGTGAGGGAGGAGAAAATATAAATTCTTACAACTAGTGAGGACAGAACTGGGGACCCTCCCACCTCCAATGTAGCCATTCCCCACTCTCCACACCTTTAAGCAAGCATTCGAGGGCTCCTCTGACCTCTGTAGTGAGTGTACTGATGGGTGGAGGCATAGCCAGCTCCCTGGGCAATAAGGGTGAAGTGCCTATTGAGGTGTGCTAGGGGCTGTGGGTGAGTGTGAGAGGATCTTACATGCAGCCATGTTCGTAAGGATGAGGAAGAGTTTGTTTATAGACAGGGAATAGACAGGGAAGAAGGACAGCTTCAAGTTATAAAACTCCTTGAATGAAAGAATGCTTCTTAGTAGGAGGAAATAGGTCTTTCTGAGTAGGGGAGGCAGGCCTTAATTATTAAGTAGCTCAGGGTAAAGGCTTTGGGTTCCGACAGACCTGGGTTGCTGTCACTCACAGCTGTGTAAACTCTTGCAACCTACCTCCCCTCCTCCAGCCTTAGTTTCCTTCTTGTAAAATGGGGGTGATATTGGTACCACCGTTGTCGGGTTGAAAAGAGGGTTAAATAAAATCATGGGTCCGGAATACTGAGCACCTCGCTGGGCACACAGATAGTACCCAATGCATCTTAGTTGCTGATTATTCCCTGACTCTCCCTGTCAGGATATTTCTCTGCATCAGCTCAACAGGAGCCTCTACCCGACTCCCAGGGTATTGGGCCTTCTCCACGCACACAGCAGAGTCGGGTACAGCTCTTTCTGGGATGCCCAGGAATGTTTCCCTTGTTGCTCTGAGGAAGTCTGAAGCAAAAAAAAGAAGTGTGCCAACATACTGTACGTGACAAAGCAGTTTTAGTTGGTGTTAATGCAGCACTAACTGTAACTTACCAAACATCTCCACATACAGGTTTCATTTCCCCCCCCAAGTCAGCTGTAGAGATTTCTCCCATCTTCTGTCCAAGGAAAATGGTTCAGGGGATGGAGACACCTCCTCAGGGCCATGATGTCCAGATCTGGGATTCGGGGTTGGACCTGGCCCAGGTTGGAAAGATGGGATTTCATCTCCCTTTTCTAAACCTCTGTTGCCTGAAGACCTTCCTCAGCATTGCCCTCTGAGCTACAGAATTGCCTTTTGCTGCTCACTTTTTTCTGAAGCAAGATGTTTTTTTCATTCACAACCCAGAGGGCATTTCAGATAGCTGTTTCTTTTACTCAGTTCATATTTATTGGGAGTTTGCAGGGCTCATGTTTTTCCAGCAGATGTTAGGTAGCTGCAGGAGATAGCGGAAGCCAGGTCACTGCCTCTGCCCTCATTATCTTGTCTAGACAAGATAAACATCCACACACAGGTAAGTATTTACCAGGTGAAGTGTTTACAGAGTAAAAAATAAACCTAAAAATGTACTCATCCAGGAGGTGGGTGGAGACAACATCCCTGTCGGTACTCCTGCCATTAAACTGTTTCCTTAGATTAAAAAAAAAAAAATTAAGACTCTAAAAAAAGCATGATTCTTGAATAGTTTGAGGTTCCTTATTTAAAGATGTAGGCAATAATCCATCTCAACTGTGAGCTCCGGAAGGCAGATCCATGTTTCTTTGCCTGCTGTCTTCAGCACCCAATATTATGCCTGGTTGAATTTTTCTTAAGTTCCCTTAGATTTTTTTCTTTTTATTCCATCCTGTCATCAGTTTCACATTGCTGTGCCTGAGCAATCTTTGAATAACCCCTCCAGGGTACCTGGGTGAAGTTCAAGGGCATCCTTGTGACCTTTCTCTCCTGGAAGTCCTAGGCTAAGGCATGCTGGGAGTTGCTTGTCCCTTCTGGCCTTCTGACTCCTGCTCAGTTGGTTTATCCTCACCCCAACCATGTGAACTCCACGTGGGTTGAGAGGGCTTCATGAGATCACTAAGTATCCCTCAATCTTTTCTTGTTCCAGGTTCTTATGCTGGAGCAGTGATCGCCATGCCCCTGGCGGGGGTGTTGGTGCAGTACATTGGCTGGGCCTCCGTCTTCTATATTTATGGTGAGTGATTTGACTTCATGAGTTTCCATGGTGACTATAGAGCTGGTATTTTACTGGGTAATGGGATAAACGAAGAGTTTATGATAGGATATCAAGGAATACTTGACTACCTAGGATTCATTCAACATTTATAGTAAAGCTGAGTTTCTTTCTTTAAATACCAGTGAATAACAACAAAATCCTTTCTCCTAGCTCCGTGGTCAGCAAACTGCGGCTAGAGAGCCACTTGCAGCTCTTTGGTCCCTTGAGTGTGGCTCTTATACAAAATACCACTGCCTGGGCGAGTCTATTTTGAAGAAGCAGTGTTAGAAGAAGTTTAAGTTTAAAAAATTTGGCTCTCAAAAGAAATTTCAGTCGTTGTACTGTTGATATTTGGCTCTGTTGACGAATGAGTTTGCCGACCACTGTCCTAGCTGAACATAGTACTGTTTGGGAATATTTTGAAAATGGAAAAATTTAGAGATGGGAGGGAATGAGACCATATCATCAAACCTTTGTTTTTTTTAAACTATTTTAACCTTTTGTTTTAGGTATGTTTGGCATTATTTGGTACATGTTTTGGCTGTTACAGGCCTATGAGTGCCCGGCAGCTCATCCAACAATATCCCAGGAGGAGAGGACCTACATAGAGACAAGTATTGGAGAAGGAGCCAACGTGGTTAGCCTAAGCGTAAGTCTCGATGGATAGATGAAGACTTGCCTCTCTCTTCTCTATGAGTATTTCTCTTAGTGACTGTGTTGTCTTCTTAAGAAAAATAACATGTCAACTGATGGTTGCCTGATGGTGGTGGGGGTTGGGGAATTTGAGGAACTAAGTAGAAAAGATGAAGGGATTAAAAAGTACAAGTTACTAAATAGTCACAGGGTTGTAAAATACAGCATAGAAAATATAGTCAATAATATTGTAATAATTATGTTTGGTGCCAGTTGGGTACTAGACTTAGTAGGGGAGCACTTTATAAATTATATGTCTAACTTCTATGCTGTATCCCTGAAACGAATATAATATAATATTGAATATCAGCTGTAATGGATAAATAAAAGAAGAAAAATGACATGTCAATATATTTCCTTAAAAATCTCATGGTATTTTTACTCTCTAGAAATTTAATACACCATGGAAAAAATTTTTCACATCATTGCCGGTTTATGCAATCATTGTGGCAAATTTTTGCAGAAGCTGGACCTTTTATTTGCTGTTAATAAGTCAGCCTGCTTATTTTGAAGAGGTCTTTGGATTTGCAATAAGTAAGGTAAATACAAAGATGTTTCAAATGTTCTCTAACTTTAAATCTCTTGTTCTGAGAAAATATTTGCATGGTAATGTAATTACATTGCTTTTCATAATTTATATCAGTTGTATGACAACTAATGCCCTGGAAGTCAGACAAGTCATACATTCTGTGCATAGGATACATAGTTATTTAATTTCTTCATAGTAAGGATCAGAACTGTGGAGAGCTGCTTTTAAAGCTTATTTTGCAGATCATTCCTATCTTCATTATGATGGTTATGATGATAGTGACCAAGGCCTTCTTTACAAAATGTTTTAAATGTTTCCCAGTCACTAGGTTGCCTGTATTTCATGGAGGAAGGGTATGAATGGTGAAACTTAAACCAGCATCATGAAAGAATTGTTATAATATACAGTGATGGGAGAAGATTTGACTGTGTAATATACAGATCTCATAATGTAGAAATCTACACCTCAAACCTATATGATCATATTAACTAACGTCACTCCAATAAATTTAATTAAAAAAAGGGGGAAAAAAGGAATCAAGCCCCCTTCCTACAAGGGAAGAAAATAGCCTACTAGGGATAGATGTCTGCGTAGCTCCAGGTACTATCTGAAGTGACTGGGGAAGAGCTAAGTCGGTGCCATCAATGAACATTCTGTGCTAAGTGTTTAACTACCATGTACCAGGCCTTATGCTGGGTGGTGGGGGTCTCTATGATGTATAACAGCCACTTGTGCCCGTAAGGAGCTTTCAATCTGTTGGAGGAGGCAATTAGGTCCACTCTTATAATTATTCCCTCATTCATTATGTATTTATTACAGAATTCAGGCCTACCTGGGTCCCATTTAAGTAGATGATGAAATTTAGTGGTAATGATGGTAGGCAGGGTAGCTGGTGGGAAGAGGGAATCCATACATTTGGAGAAAGTAGCTAAAAATAGCTCATTGTTTTTGTTTTTTCCCATCCAGGTGGGGCTCTTGTCGGCACTCCCACACATGGTTATGACCATCATTGTGCCTGTTGGAGGACAACTGGCAGATTATTTAAGAAGCAGACAAATTTTGAGCACAACTGCCGTCAGAAAAATCATGAACTGTGGAGGTACTATGGATTTCATAAGCGATTTTAGGCAGCTTTTCTAGAAAGAGATGAAATTGAACTGCAGACTATATCTCGGAGGTTATGTCTAATCACTGGAAAGGATATTATAAGCCCCTAAGTCCACCCCCCCAGGGGTACTGTACTATATATACAGTACCTCTCTTGGAGAATACCACAGTTCAGTTGAGGAGGCAGAAACACAGGTGAAAAATTATACCAGGCAACGTTGAAAAGTTCTGAGTAAGAAGAAGGCACTGGGGGGTGAGGGCAGGGTTCTCAGGAAAGCTTTCTAGAGGAAGTAATATTTGAACTGGGCTTTAAAGGATATGATTCCTCCAGAAAAAGAGAAATAAGTGGTGGGAGAAGAGGATCCCAAGTGAAGGAACAGTGGGTGAAAATACGTATAGCACAAACAGTGTTGTGTCTAGGAAATAGCTGGTAGTGCCATGGGACTACAGCAGAGGGTGCTATATGGGCTCAGTGGTGAGCTGGACTGTGCGGGCTAGCAGAGGATGAGACAGGAACAGCAGGAGGGACTTATCAAATAACACTATACTATTGTGGACCCTTGACAACAGTTTTCAGTAAAGGGACTACAGGTCAGATTGGTGGTTTAGAAAGAGTGATGTGGAAAATGGAGCAGAGGAGGAAGGGATGGGAAAACCAGTGAAGAGGTTGTTGAAGTTGTCCAGGTGAGCGGTGATGGGGCCCTGGCCTAGGACAGCGGCCGAGGAGGAGAGGTTGGTTTTGACAGATATTTCTGTGACTGACTCCACAGATTCTTATGGGAATGCTGAGAAAGAGGGAGATGTTGAGATTTCTGTGTTGGATTTTTGGTTGCTATGTGTTGAGCTGTGCCCATGTGCTAGGCCTTAAATAACCCAATTTCACTTAATCTTCTAGTGCCCTGTAAGGTTGTGTTATTAGCTCCTCCTCCCCCTTTTTTTTTGTTAAAGAATCTGAGAGGTGAAGTGACTTGTCCTAATAATGGATCACCAGTCACATGAAGGTCACATAATGGGTGGTTTTGAGGTAAGATCTGAACCTAGCCCTGTCTGCCTCTAAGTCTGGGTTCTAAACACAGGTGGATAGAAGATAAATTTAGAGCAGAAGAAAGAGCATGGCAGTGGTGGCTTGCTTTGTTGGTTTATGAGTAAGAAATAGGAGAACTTGGGGATGTTGGCTTTGAAGGATCTATGGACAGTCTTGTGGAGATGTCTGGAAGAAGCAGTCTTGAGAACGATGTATCCTTGTCTCTCATTTCATAGGGCATGCTTATACCAGAAATGGTACTTAAGTTACCATTCTTCTGTCTGCTGTTGGCTAAGTGTGTGTGTGTGTGTGTGTGTGTGTGTGTGTGTGTGTGAGTGTGTGGTTGTTTGGATTGTCAGAGGAGCATCTTCAGAATTTCCTAGTCCTTTTTTTGTTGTGCTGGAGTCATCTATCCTGAACGACAAGCACAGAAAGCACTTCTATCTCACTGTGTTTTCTGTGTGAATATCACATGACTTTTGAGGCCGGAGAGCTTGGTGAACTGAAAGCGAAGAATTCCACTTTATGCATTTTGCTTCAGCTATTCACTATAGAAGGCCACTTTTGGCAATAAATATTGAAGTGTGGTCACGTTTTTTTTTTCTGTGACAGGCATAATATGTAAGCAAAGGGGACTCACTCACAGTATAAAGGAGAGATTTAGTGTTAGAATTTGCAAGGGCAACTGCTCATGAAGCAACTGATGATAAACATCCCTCATCCCAGGGGCTTCATTGGAATCTGCTGGATCATTTAGTGTTCAAGGTGCACCAAGATAATGTCAGAGGCTCACAGAACACCTGGGCAACAGTAGCATGGTCACCTGGGTAACAGTAGGGTGGTCACTTGGGCAGCAGTAGCATAGTCACCTGGGAAACAGTAGCATAGTCACCTGGGTAACAGTAGCATTGTCACCTGGGTAACAGTAGCATCGTCACCTGGGTAACAGTAGCATAGTCACCTTGGCAACAGTAGCATAGTTACCTGGGCAACAGTAGCATTGTCATGTAGTCAAGAAGCACCTGGGTAATAGTTGTAAGCACTGTGTCAGAATGTATGTGCTAAACATCAGGTCCATTGAAATATTAATAGATTCTTATTTAATAAGTTGATGAACTTGGGCTGACTGACATGACAATGACATTTCCCCCCCTTGGTGTTTCCATTCACAGGTTTTGGCATGGAGGCAACCTTACTCCTGGTGGTTGGCTTTTCCCACACCAAAGGGGTGGCTATCTCCTTTCTGGTGCTGGCTGTGGGGTTTAGTGGTTTTGCTATTTCAGGTAAAGTGTCCTTTGGATGTCCACATCTTTTCTACAGATCCAGCAAGACATAGGAGGTAGAAAGAAAAACTATAATGGGTTCTCCTTTTTGAGGAGGCAGGCATTGCCAGCGGGGCCTCTGGCTAGAGAATATCGCCTGTTGGCAATGACTGTGAGGTCACTGAGGACTGGGCTGAGGAGCCTGGTGCAGCTGGCATTGTCCCCAGTTTCTCCATCTTGGGAAAAGACACAAAGTATAGGCGACCCCTGAGGCATGGGCAGAGCAATTCTGACCTGTTTCCACTAGATGTTGAAGAATGCCTTCCCTATAGTTCTATGATGTGGAAGAGATTCATATTCTGTTTCCAGAAATGTTGAAATAGTTAGGTTCATATTGCTCCCAGATTGCCAAGTAAGCCACAACCAGAAGGCGTGAAACCCAATATTCCAAAGCACAGCAGCTGCCATTATTTTTTTTAGCACTTCCTCCAAGCTAGCCATTTTTTGGACATAGTCTCATTCAACCCTTGTAGCAACCCTGCAAGAAGGGTATTGCCATGTCTGCTTAGCCAGTGAGGACCCTGACGCTTGGAAAGGTGACTTAACCTGCCCAAGTGAGTAAGCTGGGACTGGAATACAGGCTTGTTTGACTGCCAGTGATACGATGGGAGGGACTGTGGCCATGGGGTGACAGTTCCCCAGGATCTATTACCTGCCACCGTCATAAGGAGTTCATAGAGATGCCAAGGAAGACTGGCACAATTTAGGAGCTGATTATAGACGAGAGAGTCAAGACTGTGACATTGACAAATACAAGGGCTGGGTGGTACCTGTTTTGAGAAATGTCCTGTGTAGAGAAAACTGATTCTCCCAGCTTGGATGCCAACAAAAATATTTTTTATATGCTACAAAAAAGAAAAAAAACACCCCACCCCAAAACAAAACCACATCACCCACACAGAAAGCTGAGTTTCTCAGTGATTCTCCCCCTCTCCCTCCAATACCAGGATTGTGCAGCTAGAAACCTAATCTTTAATTGGACCTTATCTTTAACTGAACGCAGATGCCTGGGCTTTGCGTTGGAGTATAATGCTCGACAATCATGTTAATTGCTTCTTATCTCTGGTTTCTTTTCTAATAAGTGTTTATCACATTGAAATCAACAGCAAGATTAATTAATTTTGCAGATGTTTCCTATTTGAATTGTCTGCCACTTTGATCTGAAAGAAATGGCATGTTTATTTAAAAAAAATGTTTTCTCAAAAATTTTCCTGAATAGAAGTAGTAAAAATCAACCAGCCAATGTGCCAGATTTAGAAAAACAATTTATTTTAGGTCCTATTTTCAGATTCTTTGCACAGAGTAGAGAATTAAAAAGCAAAGTAATACACAAAAAACGAGTAAATAGAAATTACAACCCCTTGCTGTCATGTCACGGCTCAAATTGATAATTAATTAAATAATGATTTATTGAGTGCCTACTGTGTGTCAGACACTTTGCCAGTTCAGGTATTATTATAAAATAGAATCAAGACAGATGGATAACCAACCTCTATGTGCCATGCAGTGAACATACATTATTTAAGTGAATTCTTACAATTGTAGAAGAATTATTATGCCAATTTACAGATGAAGAAGTGGAATTCAGAAAGTTTAAGTCCTTTGTCCAGATTAGCATTTCAATTCGGCTATCAGAGGCAGGCCTGTCTGACTAAAATGCACCCCTTGGGCAATCTTGGTAGAGTTGGTTCTTAGGGCCTGAAGCTGCCCCTTTCACAGCCTGGCCTTCCCCTGCCATCACTCCTCCCCACTCCCACTCATTCTTTTCTCCTGATGCACAGGTGAATAGTGAGATATTGGCAAGTTATTATTTTACCACTCCCTGCGGTAGCCTCTTTTCATCAAAGAGAGGGAGATGCCTAGCAACAGCATCATAGCAGGAGTAATACTGCTAATGGTAGTGGTAGTAGTGGTGATTAGTGGTAGTTGGTGGTGGTTAGTGGTAGGAGAGGTAGTTAGTGATAGTTGTGCAAGTGGTAGTAGTAGTTAATGGTGGTTAGTGGTGGCTAATGGTAGTTAGCAGAGCTTAGCTATTTGCCATTGGATATTACAGACAACTTCACCTGGGTCTCATATTACAGCATATTTTATGACTTAAGTAGTAATAATACCCCATATTAGAGATGAGGAAACAAAGCCTAAAATGACTTAAGTGTTAGAAATAAGATAAAAATCTAGATTTACAGACTTGAAAGCAAGTATGATACAGAAGTGTTTTGTAAATTACAGGGGATTCTGCCAATGTCTCTGCAATTGTATTACTTAAAAAGTACCTTGGCTAGTATGCCATTTGGCCACTAAGGCAAACTTTCCTACGGTGGCCTGTTGGGGGCTGGAAGGAAGGATGTTATGAGGCAAGGTTTGATTCTAATCACACTGAATATGATTGTGTGATTGTTTATGCTGAATAGATGTGACCCAGGCTTTCTGCTTTGCAATATTGAAAACCATTATTTTGGAGTTTTGAACCTAAAAGGCACAAGTGCCTTAATTTTCCCTATGGAGAATCCATGGCAGACATTGCTAATCAATCACAGCATGCTTTCCTCTATATGCTGACACAGCCTGACAATCCTTTGCCCAGCCCTCTCTGTGCACCCATTAGTCATATGCTAGAAGGAACCACTTAGATTGGTGAGAATTGGGGGGATACAAAGTAGTTTCCAAGATGTATTTGGAATTCTGGTCTTGACCCTGATTTTGAGGTTTGTTTCATTGTAGGTTTTAATGTCAACCACCTGGATATTGCCCCCCGTTATGCCAGCATTCTCATGGGCATCTCCAACGGAGTGGGAACCCTCTCTGGAATGGTCTGTCCTCTCATAGTTGGTGCAATGACCAAGCACAAGGTAATGGTCTCCTTTTGGGCTGTGAGGATCAGAGGACTGAAATACTGCACACCCTTGTGATTTCAAAGCCCTACATGAGCCTGTCCATGTGTATGTCCTTGACCTTGGCTAAGTCATTTGAACTTACCTTATTTTTCGTCTCTCTTTCTTCATCTCTCCATCCCTCCCTTGATTTCTTCCTCCATCCCTTCCTTCCATTCTTCTTCCGTCACCTCTCCTCCTCCTTCTTCTTTAACTTAGTGTTTATGGATGGCAAGAGGACTGATTAATTTTCACTCCATGTTTCATTTTCTCAACTGACAAATAAAAGGTGTGTGTGTAGTGGGGACATGTTCCACAAAGAGAGTTTAGAGACAAGAAGAAACTGAGGCAATCAACTCCTCAGGATGAACAAATCACTCAAGGTTGTTTTATAATTCTAAGTCATTAAACTTTATAGCCATTTCCATCTATTGCTCAACATGTTCCAGCATAAAAATAGTGCTGTTATACTTCCTTATTATGCAGAAAATAAGCAAGGCCTTAGTGACCCGTTCTAAGGACAGTATGGCGCTCAGTCAGTGCTGAACCTTTCTGCATTTAGACCAGGGAAGTGGAGCCCAGATCCATGCAGAGTTCAGCCACAGGCCATATGGCTTCTTAATCTCTGTCACTGAAAAGCCTTCAGGATGCTGCTTTCTACAAATAAGAATTTTTAAAACTATGGAGTTTTTAATCCTACTATTTTTTTTAAATATAGTTTATTGATTTTTACAGAGAGGAAGGGAGATGGATAGAGAGTTAGAAACATCGATGAGAAAGAATCATTGATCAGCTGCCTCTTGCACACCCCTTACTGGGGATGTGCCCGCAACCAAGGTGCATGCCCTTGACCGGAATTGAATCCGGGACCTTTCAGTCCGCAGGCCGATGCTCCATCCACTGAGCCAAAGCAGTGTCAGCTAAAAAATAGTTCTTTATTGTTGAAAGTATTACATATGTTCCCCATTTCCCCCTTCTAGCCTGCCCCAGGCTTTCGCCACCCTATTGTCTGTGTCCATGGGTTATGCATATTTTTAAAACTTGCATTGCCTATTACAAATATAACTTCAGAAAGTCTTTCTGTTTCTTGGAGGAAAAAGTATGGACAATTTTTATTATTTACTTATTTATTTTTAAATAGATTTTTAAAAATTGATTTCAGAGAGGAAGAGAGAGGTAGAAAGAGATAGAAACAACCATGATGTGAGAGAATCGTTGATCAGCTGCTTTCTGCATGCCCCACACTGGGGATCAAGCCCACCACAACCCAGGCATGTGCCCTGACAGGGAATCAAATTGTGACTTCCTGGTCAACCCTCAACCACTGAGCCATGCTGGTTGGTCAGTGTTTCTTATTTGTTGATGGAAAAGAAAGGTGGGATTTGGAGATTATTAAAGTCGGAGAACACTCAGTTTCCCTCTCTGTTTGTGAGAAAGTAAGATTGATAACATTCCTACTAAATCTTAGCCACTATCTCCCCTTAACTTTAAACACACATACCCATTATTTTTGATACTGTATTTTACACAGAACATGTAATTACAAATAAGCTATTGACAGTGAAGACTGAGTTTTTCATGACTCAAATGGTTACATCTCCAATAGTTAGTGAGAAGAGACCTCTGATATTGAAAATGGTGGGTTCCCAAAGCAAGTTTCATTTAACCTACTAGCTGAGTGGAAACCTCTTGTGTATTCAGAGAGCTCTATTTCATAGGATGTTTATTCTGTAAAGTCTTTTTCTAAATTAAAAAAAAATGCATATTCATTGTAGTGTTCACTTGCATTTCTCAAACACTCAAACTCTGTTGGGATCCTGGGCGTGCTTCTGATGTCTTCCCAGGAACATAGCATTGTCTTTAGGGTGACTGTACTTTTGTCCAGAGCTTTCTGTTCATCTCTCTCTCTCTCTCTCTCTCTCTCTCTCTCTCTCTCTCTCTCTCTCTCTCTCTCTCTCTCTCTCTCTCTTTCTCATTAAAATAATGATTAATACCGTTTCCTGTCTAGACCCGCGAGGAATGGCAGAATGTGTTCCTCATCGCTGCCCTGGTACACTACAGTGGCGTGATCTTCTATGGGGTCTTTGCCTCTGGGGAGAAACAGGAGTGGGCTGATCCTGAGAACCTCTCCGAGGAGAAGTGTGGAATCATCGATCAGGATGAATTAGCCGAGGAAGAGACAGAACTCAACCACGAGAGTCTTGCAAGTCCCAGAAAGAAGATGTCCTATGGAGCCACCACCCAGAATTGTGAAATCCAGAGGCAGGAATGGAGAGGGCAGGGGGCAGTGACCCTGGATGAGGGAGAGCTGACATCGTACCAGTATGAAGAGGGAAGCTTCTCAGATACAGCCTAATGTCTAAGGGGCACTCTGTCTTCCCCTCACCTTAGAGCCAGAAAGTATCCATACCTATTGCCTTCTCTGTAGCCCAGCTTGCCAGGGGTTAAATGTGGGGACCCTGGAGGTGGGGGAGGGGGAGAGAAGATTTAATCAGCAATAGAGAAAAGAGATATTATAGATATTATCTGGCAATGACATTTATGGGTATGGAATTTGCGCTAAGTTGACAAAATAGGTATATTTATATATATATATAATGTTTTTTAAAAGAAAATGGGCCCTCGCCGGGTTTGGCTGGGTGGATAGAGCGTCAGCTTACAGACTGAAGGGTCCTGGGTCCGATTATGATCAAGGGCACATGCCCAAGTTATAGTCTCCATCCCCAATAGGGGGCATGCAGGAGGCAGCTGATCAATGATTCTCTCAGCATTGATTTTTTTTTTCTCTCTTCCTCTTCCTTACTCTCTGAAATAAATAAATTTTTAAAAGGAAAAGAAGATGGGAGGAAATGGGGATATCTGGCTTGGAGGAGAGAAACCAGTAGTTGCCACTGCATTTCTGAGAGCAGCCATGCCTAGGAGGGTTCCTAACCCTAAGGCTCTGCTGATCGAGGCCCAGGGTTGTGCCAGGTGGTTTAGAGCATCCTCATTGGATCTGCACTCCCACAGTGACATACATTTCTTATCCCCGTTTTCCAACAAGGAAGTGGGATTGACTGGCCCGCAGTCATTCTGCCAGGGCCAGTGCTGAGATTGGTGAGGTCCAAAATAGGTATTAGTTTTGGGGAAGAAGGTTTCACCTTAAGGTAGGAAAAACAGTTTTAATAATAATAACAACCCTGTGGGCTGTCTTGTGCATAACTTCTCATTTTGGCTGGTGCAGGGGATGGGAAGCATTTGGGTTAATGTGGCAGAGCATTCAAATGTATGAGGAGCTATGACCTAAAAAATCAAATGATTCTGTGAACTCATAGCTTTTTAAAAAATAGTAAGGGTCACAGACTGTAGGAGAGACTAAACTGGTTTTAAAAAAGAAAGAAAAGGCTATTCAAGATAGTAAATTTCCAGGACTCTCTAATAAAAATGACTATTAAATGTCAACCTTTCATAATATCAAGAATGTTATTAAGTAATGTCCCAAATTACTTATAAATCGTTAAGACATTCAGTAATTTAAGAAATCAGACCATGCATTTTGTGAGGTAAAATTTTCTTGAAAAATGTCTGTCTTTAGACATTTTTGCTGGTGATATTAGAAAGTTTGATTAAGTTATACAAAATTATGATTGAGGTATTCTTAATGACTGTATTTGGAATGATATTCAGGGGAAACAATAATATGGAGGTAGTTAAACAGGAAAATACTAGAATGAAAACAACTGGGACAACTAGATGTAATGTTGAAAATTTAATTTTTGATTTGCATAAGGCAATAACATGGATACTCTTCAGATATATTTTAAAATGTAATGATATTTAAAATTTTAATGTTGGCATGTTAAGGGTTGTTCTAAAATAAAATTATTTTCCTGTTCATTGTTCTTGAAAACTTTATTTATACTTTCAGAAGAAAAACATAATATTGTGGAAAAATACATTTGCATGTAGTTTATTATTATAAAGTGTGTTTTTCTAATTCTCCGATATGTATATATGTATGTAAACATATATGTATATTTCTGGTCCCCAATTTTACCAGCAAAGTTGAGTTAAAAAAAGGAATTGCCTGATTCTCCATTAAATAATATTCTTTATATCATTAGTATATTAGTGTAATTTATAATTTCATCTGTCTTTAACGAGTGAAGTCATGTAAGTCCCTTAGGCTAGCATGTAGAAAGTGCTAAATAAACATTAGCCATCATCACTGTTATCTTTTAACCTTTTGGGAACTTTCAATTGTGAAGAAAGCATGCTATGTTATTTCCATCCATTAGCCACAGAATTTATTGTGAAAGTCGTGCTGTTTTCTAAGTAAAAAAAGAAAAAGAGAGAACTTAATGGTAGCCAATGTTTTCTTTTCCTTCTCTTAATAAAGTCAAATAACTATTAAAAAAAAAAACTCATGATACTCCTTATGGTAATATTGTAAATTGTGACCCCAAGTTGTATTTGCTCAATTATTTAAAGTCAGTGTCATATGAAGAAATCTCACATTTTGGTAAATCAAAGCATTTAGGGTACCTGTAACTTGCCTTTAGAATATTAAAATTGATGGAGCCCTGTATCATGGTGCTATAACTAAAGCACGTTATTTTGTTGTGATGGGTATTGGGAAGGTTGCCTTGAATAGATAATTATAACTGAACACCAGGCAGATGCAGCTTGCAAGTCATTGTACATTTTGGTGTAACTACCCATTTGTAGATCAAGCCTTGGAGGCAATCTGTGGATTCGAGGAGGGAAGGAGGCCTCTAAGCCTTAGAGTCTAAGGGTGCTGGATTTTTGAGGCAAAAAGGTTTAACTGGTTCTTTTTAAAGATGGAAAGATTTGGAGACTCCTGAACACAAGAAAAAGAACAATTTCTCAAGAAATAAGGGCACATTTGTTATTCCTGCCTAGATGTTAAATTCAACAGGTAAACCTTGAAACCTGCTATTAGTATTTCACACCGACTCCTCCCAACCCCAACAAACCTGTTCTTCCTTTTCTGTTTTTTTAGCTAAGTAATTTGCAGCACCCTTTTGCTGGAGTTAGAATTGTTGGCTTATTTAAAAAATTAGTCCTTTCTTTCCTGCCAAGTCCATTTAATTCAATCTGTGGCTCAGTGTCTTACATCAATTTTGGAAATGTTTTAGTCATGCTCTCTCATGATACTGCTTTTGCTATATTCTTTATGTTCTTTCCAGGAATCCAGTTAAATGCATGCTAGACTGTGTGTAAGATGCCGACCATCTCTTTTGTATTTTCCAGTCTTTTGCCTCTTTCTGTGTCATTCTGAACATCTTCTTTTGACTTACTTTTGAGTTCTTTTTCTCTTCAACATCTATTCCAGTAAAAAAAATTCATCCATTGTGCACTTAATTTTACTTATTGTTTTTTTAGCTTTAGAACTTTTATTGTTCTTTTTCAATTCTGTATGTCTTTTACAAAACATTTTTAGTTCTCTGTTGACATTTTTAATCCCATTTTTTCTCCCTGAAACATAATAAACTACATATTTCAAAGTCTGATTAGTGCCACTATTTGGAGACCAGGTCATTCTTGTTCATATTGTCTCATTTCAGTCTGTGCCTGTGCCTGTTTTTTTTTTTTTGTTTTGTGTGTGTGTGTGTGTGTGTTCTGAATTTGTATTTGAAACATTGTTTGTATAAGTGAATTTAAGCTTAAAATAATGTTGTTGTTTTTTCTCTCCAGAGAGATTCTTCTTTGCTTCTTCCAGGAGCCTGAAGGCACAAGCAACCTGGGATCTTTCATCCAATTGCAAGGCCTGAGATCTCCTGGGCCACCAGATGGTTTGAAGCTGGGCCACAGGCAATGTGAAGGCTCTTTTACTTTCAATTCCCTCTTCTTCCTAGAGCACGGCACTTCATGATCCCTCCCCCCACCACCACCACTGTGTTTCCACCAGCATCCAGCTTTTGTATCCATACCAGGCCATCAAACTGCTCAGCTATCCAACACTGGCTTTGTTATCAATAACATACTCCCAGGCGAAAAGGGGCCTCAAATGTCAAGCTCACTACTTTGAATTTTTATCTCCTCCCAGGTGGCCGGGTAAATTTTCACAGCCATGCTGGCTCTTCAGTGCGTTTGAGCAGTCATGTAAAATATAATTTTTCTAGTGTGAAGGTTGGCCTGAATTACCTAGTCTGCCATTAGTGGATGCTGAAGTCCCTTTAATTTTATCTTCGCAAGTTCTCTCAAATGGATTTGTGTCCCTAGAGACAGTGTGGTAATAAATGAAAACCCAAATCTCAATGGCTCACTACAGCCAACACTTAGTTCTCTCCTGGGTTACTATTTGAGTGCAGTTGGATTGGGTGGACTGGAGGCTTGTTCCAGGCAGTCTCTCAAGGATCCAGGATTTATTTTTTCTCCACTTACCATCTTGTAGTTCCCCATTGGGAACATATGACCTTTGGCATAACCATGAAATGAGAGGGAAAAGGAGGCCCTCTGACTTTTCACGGCCTCAGTTGAGAATGACACTGTCATTTCTGCTCCTGGTCCATTGATCTACACTAGCCGTATAGAGGTGGCTGGGGACTAATGGAGAGCATGTGGATTGCTGAGTCAGCACTGATTACATCTGCCGCTCTAGCCTAGGTTCAGGGTCTTCTGAGCTCTTAGTTGACATGTTAACTGACTTCAAGTGCCATACATGACATGATTCTGCTATGTGGCATTCTGGGAGATCTGCACTAGGCTGTAGAGAGCAACTCTTGTATGGGAGGGAGCTTTAAGCCTTTTCCAGGAAAGATCACAAAGATAACAGTTCATTAGAATAGAAGAGAATCTGGCCCAGGCCTTATGCTAAGCCCTTTCCATGCCTGAGCTCATTTCATTCTCATGGTAGCCCATGAGGAAAGGGGAGGGGCTGCCAAGGGACTGATTTTCCCCAGGTACCCCATGTATGGCAATGCAAATACTGTCTATATGCTCAGGACGTGCCCTGCACAGAATGGGTGCTCAATGAATACATTCTTCAAACTCCCTTGTGGTGTTTAAGGAAGATTATGCTGGAGATGACATTCAGGTGGGCTGGTTGAGCATAGCAGATGAAATGTAGGTAGCTGTAGCTGCTGTCTAAAATTATAATAATGGAGTATAAGAACACATACACTTTCCAGGACAAAGAAAAACGAAAATCACATTTACAAGTTAAATGTGGTACATCAATGCTAACTGACTTCAGTGGAACTGAGTGAGGAAAGAAGGAAGCTGTTTTGTGTTGCTGCATCTAGGGAAGCTCCAGAATTTGAGGCACCAGCACTGAGTACCCTCTGAGGAGAGAGTGAAGGGTGGAGTGAGGTTAAAGGAAGGGGGCTGAAAATGGAAGGATTGGCTGAAGTT